CAAACAAAATAAAACCTGGTGTATGTGAAGATGAAACATTTTTGAATATGTTGAACATGAAATAGTATATTATTCAATAAATGTCATAATTTGAAGTTAGGACCAATGATTCATTTAATCATTATTCAAAAAATTTATTATTTATAGAAATTTTATTATTTGAGTTGAAAAATGAATTCAAATTATGAAATAATGATGAACTAAAAATTGATTGAACATGAATGTACCGACATCAATTTAATTTATTTTTTTTAAATTTGAAAATTATGTAATACGATAATTAACGTATAAATAGTCATGTTTAAGGACATAGATTTGAATTTGAGTTGATTATGCAATTAGTGTCGTTTGAATGAAATTTTAGATTTGACTGACTTTCATTAAATATGAAGTTTGAAAGAAATGATTATATATTGAAACGTGTAGATTCACAATTTCAACTTTTGATGCAAGAGAAAATTTCTATTTAAAATTACAAGATTGCTACCCATGTTGACATTTATATTTAGATTTTTCAAACATCATGATTTAATTTGGAATAGAGTGAAACATATTTTGCCTCAAAACCGTGATTTTGTGATTACAGATCAGGATAATATTTTGGAAAGATGATTATGAGTACCTCCAAATGTACAGCAAGTGGAACTTTGCAGATAAAAATCTTTAAATCTTGATTTGGCTATGCTTGCCCTAGCAAGAGCGCCGAGACGGGGATATTTTGAAAATGTGTGAAGTGATACAATTAAAGCTGCACAAAAATAATTTGAACTAGTCTTAATGGCGGGTAAAGAAGGGTCCGCGGGCTGGAAATGGCTTAAAGATTTCCACGCGCGATCTCTATTTAGAGCTCATCTACTGTTTTTCTAGATCAAGCACTGTATGGTAATGTGAACATCAACTTTGACATGTGTGTGTGCTAATGAGCTTACAAGACAAATTTCAAAAAGAATTAATTAGAATGTCAAAACTATCACTTCCTTACATTATTCTATAATGAAATTCTTAAAAGATTGATTACGTAACATAAGATCTATTTGAATCCTTATGTGAAGATGACCTTGGTTGTTGAATTATGTTAGGATATACTTCGAAGTGTGATGTCGTAAAAGACCACTAATTACTTAATCCTCTGATATCATCCATGTGGGGCCTAATATTCTCATGATTGATATATATATATATATATATATATATATGCTTGCAAAAATAAGTAAAAATAGTCATTGGGACGGGAGGACTTTTATATTGCAATCACAATGTGTGGAGCTTTGTTGAAAACGGATGTTAGTTTTCAACAAAGCTAGGCCGTTTTAGCCGTTTTCAACAAAGCTCACCTTCGAAGTTATTCTTCTCGGACAGCATGATCGCGTTCACTAGCTCAAATTACTTATTTCCATGCGGAAAATTCCCACGTAAAATCCCCATCGGCAAGTAACCGGATTCCGATTGCTGGAAAGACACGCATTATATATGTCCAGCGCGTGCGTGCCAGCCTTCTCTCGAAGAGTGCACACTGTCCTGCCTCCTTCTCTAAATGTGACGGCAATCCGCCGTCACAATTAGAGGGTGACAGAGAGAAGGAAGCTTGAAGGGAGAGGAAAGGGCTAAGTGCACGTACTACTTATGAGTGGTGTCAGGGGCCGAGGCCGTGGAGGGTGTCAGGAGAGTAGATGGCAGAAAGAGCTCGCACTTGATACTCGAACATGGGGGAGCAGAACATGACTGAGGCCGGGCCGGGCCCACTCCATCCATCCTGCCCGTCCGGACATGGTCATGATGGTGATCTCGTAACGGAGTATCCAGCCCTCTTCTTTGACTGACCACATCTCCCTCAAGGACTGGACTGGACTGGACTCTCTCATACAGAGCTGTCGTCTCATGCCACGTAGGCACAACTGCGAAATAGCAGGGTTTCTTCTTTCGGCACCGTGGAGTACTCCATTCCGTCTGCTCTCCGAACTCTTACCAAATGAATGCTCGCTCTGTTGCAGATTGGCCTAGCCACCCTAAACGAAGGAGCAGGAAAGATGATGTTTTCTCTGCGCAACGACTAGAGGATTTATACTTCATTCAATTAGATTGTCACCTCATGGAATGTAACAGTCATTTTTCATTTCTCTCTCTCTCTCTCTCTCTCTATGTATATATATATATATATATATATTTGTATGAGAGAGAGAGAGAATATGACCATGCATCTTATAGTAAACATGATTCAGAAAATCATAGGAGAATGAGTACAAAAATGAAGAGGATAGGTGTCATTCTATGCTACAAGCAAACCGTAAAATATGTAATAAGGAATGAAATGTTTCATATCGCATGTGACCTATGCGTTACTTATATAAGAGATTCGTTCACTTGAAAAGGTATTTGAAAGATTATAAATCACTGGAATGCTCTTGACAGCTAGTATAGTTTCAAAAGGAAGCAATGCAAGGAACTCTAGCCTGATAATAAACCTCAATCTCTTGATTGAACAAAGTTTAAGCAAGAACATATGCATTGACCTTTTCTTACACATACTCTCAAGAAGCCTAAAGTCTATAGGAGAATTTCTAGCATATGTATATAGAATTCAAAACATTATCTTCATACGAGTGGGTATGCAAACTTATAATCCAAACTTACTCACTGGTTGAACGAGCAAAACATAATTTGATTTTTCCTACGTTTACTTAAAGGTGTAAAAATTTTATTCAACCTTGGAGATAATGATATGAATATTCTTGGGAAGGGTGCATCGGAGGATTACATTGCAACATAAGCAGACGACGATATGTCAAGTTCAAAGGTTGATAGAAATATTCTTCTAATTATGTACATATAGAACGCAACTACGTCTGGAAACGTCAAATCATATAATTGCCAATAGGTTTACCTCTATGAAAGTTGTTGCCACCATGCATCAGATGCTGTATGTTATGCTTCATGAGCCCCATCTACAGCTTACACTCCTGACAACTGTAGCTGACCATTGAGCTCATGAAAGATGAGAGACAGAATTTAAGCGACATGTCATAAGTTTCACTCTGATGATATTTCAGAGTTGAGTGGAGTAACGGACTTTCGTATGACAGAAGAAGCCCAAGATAGTTGACGGATATCATGTCACCCGTTTCTGTGTCACTAAGAAGTTTTCTTCTAAACGTTTTCCTTGGAAACCTCCAACTCTTCAGAGAGACTAAGAATTACGCAAACAATTCATGACTTCCGACCTCTGGAAAGAATTCACATTTCAAAGTTTTATCGTATTCTTTACAGTTATACAGAGACCCTTCTGAACCATCGTACCCATATTTGAGCCCTGGATTCGAAACACACACATTGTCCAGATTGTAAACTTGGAATTTGTGTGGGTGGCCTGGACGAAGCCCATGCAAACAGAACTGAGTCGTATACGGGCGAATGTGGGCATTCGGATGTCGTTGGAGTCTGATCCTCATACAATTTGGTTCACGAAGGCTTTCGGACGAAGGATGATCTGCACGACGCACACGAATCAATCATGAGACTAGCGAAGGACGTGGACGAAGGATGAGGACGTGGCAGGTCATGTCAGTGAATGTGAATGTATATGTCGAAATCCGTGAGAGAGGCCAGAAATGCACGTGCGAGGGCGAAACCGAGATGTACCGAAAAACAATGCGTGCATGGTGCCTCTGCCTCTGCTCTGCTCTCTCCGGAGGATGGGCATGCATAACGTTTGGATGTACGTACATGACATGACAGTATGCAATGTGATACATTTGCCCTCGTAGTAGCAGCAGCAGTATGGAAGGGAAGGGAAGGGAGGGATGCGAGTGAGCTGTGTGTCACTCACGCCCTCCATGCGTTCGTACGTCTCGTACGAAAGAACGGAACGGAACGGAGGGGCGAGGGGAGGCCGTAGACGACAACCGCAACACTGACTAAATTTACACACGGGGGCGGACAAAGTAACGATCCCGAGAACATGCCCGGAGCTATATCCGGGTCCGGAGTCTTCCCAGACAGCGGACGGATATCTCGCTTTCCATCCAGCCCTCCGTTGTGACGTCTACCGAATATGGTCGCACGCCCGCCGCTGGCTCCGGCATGCTATTCCCGGTCGGTGTTCGGGGGATCCGCGAGGAGGAAACCTTTCCGTGAAGGGGAGGCTCGATCTGCCGGTCAGGGCCGTGAGCCAAAAGCTTCCCCCGCCAGAGTCCAGAGGGCGGACAGGACGATGGATCTCGATCTGTCGCCACATTTGGTCGTTCGGCGTGAGCTGTAGTCCAACTCCGCGTTGGCTTTCTGGAAGCCCCAAGAATCAGTCCCACGTGCAAAGAAAACCCCTTTGTTTTCCTTTTATCCGTCGCACGTGCGCTGCGGCATCTCGGCCTTCCGATGGGCCCGAGTCTCTGGATTTCTGCTCCGAGCCGTCGATCGCGGATGCCTCACCCTACGTCCCCCCGGCCTGCGAGCCGGGTTCAGTCGGTCGGTCACTTGCTCGAGTCCAAAGTTGCTCCTGAAGCGCAACCATCCATCTCCGTCTGCTTTGCTCTTGACTCCTTGCAGCCACCACAACTGAACAGAAATCGAGTGGCGGCAGGCTTGCAGTATATTTCGCGGAACTCTCCAACTTTGAGAACTTTCAACACTATGGATTCCCACCGTAAGTTGCAGCCCTTCGAAGGCCAACTGTATCGGATTCAGTGAAGTGCTTACCAGAGTGCCATTTTCCCGCACTGGGAACCGAGCTCAGAACACGTCACTTCAGCGCCGCGGACTCGGCCACTCCAACAATTCGGGCCGGGACAACCCATTAAACGGCACCCCGGTCTCACTGGGAACTGAAAATAGAAGAGATGCACGCCGACCATCCAAAGATGAATTTCAGCCAGTTCTGGCTGAGATACTTGGGAGGTGGTAGGATTTGTACTAAGCCTTTGATATGGACACACTTGATAACTGTCAGCTGCTTTGCTGTTCATGTGATGTAGGACATGCAGCAGACTTCAGAAAAGATAAAAGTTCTCCGCTTGCTCCCATTTGTCCTCCGTATATTACCACAGTAAATTGTATTCATCAAACATGTGTTACTTTACAATCATCAAGCAGGGGACTGCTTCCTAACCAGCATACCAGGATGTAGCGGCTGCTACAGCGCTACAAAGTTTTTGTTCATAATCTGGACTTGACTGCTGAGATACAGTTCCACTGCTTGTTTTGGCCATGAAGGGACGATGGCGCGTTCATTCTATCTAGGACTTTAAAACTTTGTCTTCAGCTTGATATTTGACCTGCTGCACCTCATATCCTACGCAGCAGCTCTTCGAAGTCCAGTTCACTTCTCTTAAACAGGTCAACGAGATACACAAGGGTCACGGCTACACCCAAGAACTCCAAGAGAAGACAATGACCTGCTCGCGTTCCGACTTCTACGTCCCACATTATCTAAACCAGACTAAACAACACTTTGCCAGGTACGCAATATCCTAGACAACTCAGTACGGTCGATAGCGACGGCCACCACTTCCACTGGAACCTCCGCCACTTCCGCCACCGCCACTTCCACCTCCCCCGGGTCGATAGGGCAGCAAGCCATGACCGGCTCTACCACCTCTGTAGGACGCTGAACCTCCTTGCTGAATACCTGGTTGTTGCCTGCAGCACATAGTTCACTTTCAAAACCCATGCATCTCAGGAAGGTACCGGATAAGAATTTACTCCTATCCTATATAGGCAGAAAGATTAGATGTTGGTACTTACAATACGTATCCAACACGTCCGTCTGGCAGCAGCATTGGAACCATGGTCATTCCTGCAGGTGCAGGTCCTCTTCCATAGATGACAGGCTGCATAATCACAAACAAGTTCACCAGGAGTTCGTTAAGTGCACTTCCAAACTACCACAGAAACCCCACTCCACATCCATCTCTGATACACGACTACGCAGATGAGGAGCCATCTAGACTGAATGATTTTAATTTTCGCATAATACAACAAGTGCTGCAACGGCCGAACGACGGTAGGAGGGAGAAGAAATGACTCCTCTCACCTGATTGTAACCCCGTGTGGGCCCGTATCCCCCAACACCACCATATATATCGGCTCCATAACCATATCCTGCTCGGGCTTGATACTGAGGCAAAAGTCCAGCTCTTTGCGGTGGATAAGCAGGTTCCAAACCTAGGGGTCTCTTCTCTGTTGGTGGCTTGGCCAAAGACGTTTCAAGTACCCGGCCTGCAGAAACAGAGCACATCACTATTAAGTTATTATTCGCATGACATCCTTCACCTATTGCACTCACTGTCATAGATGGAAGAACATAGACCACGCGGCCTGGATGTGCGACGCTAAGAGCAACGCACTACGAAGAAGAAGTAAGAGGAGAGCAGACTGAGGATGCATTGAGGGAAGGCAGGATCTTTCTCCAACAAATAGAGCTAGTTTTAAGCTTTCAAAGTGGTAGAGAAGAAACCTTGACTAGCTCCAACTACCAGTTTCTTAGGCCCCCACACCAATATATTGACTTGAATTACAAGGAGCTTAGGGCTCTGAACCAAATCTTAGACAATCGAAATATGTTTCTGGACCACCAACTATGCTATGCGAGGTTGTGATATGATGTCGCTCTCATTCTGTGACAGGTGCTGGGCATAGTCGGATTCACTTTCACATCCTCTAAAACACAGCGTGCGCAGAACTGGGTGGTTCATGAACATACTCTGCGTGAGTTTAGGCGAAATGCTATGCATCCGCTATTCCCACTTCAGTCTTGTGCCTGGGCACGGAGTCTCATCAAATAATAATCGACAGGAGATAACCTCAACACACTAATTAAAACAAATGTAAAAATATACAGATGATACTAAAGAAAAAAGACTGGCTTCAAAGTCAATACCACCGAGTTCATAAGTTGCCGTCTTTTCGATGGCCTTGAGAGCACTGCTCCGTTCAGAAAAATGTACAAATCCGAAGTCCCGCTTTGATTGCCCTGGCTTGGACGATGGAAGGACAACCTTCGTGACCTCCCCGTGGTGCTCAAAGAGCTTTTGTAGCTGTTCTTCCGTTACTGTATCCGGAAGATTGCGGACATAAACTACTTTCACCTGAAAATATCATATTATGAATATCAAAACCTCGCAGACACTTTATGACCATACATACCCGCAAAATCGCGTGGAAATTTACTACGTCCTTAGATGACCTTACACTACGACACCCGAAGGTGGTAATAGGACGCAGAGGGATGTGTACTAAGATACTCTACATGACTGCAGAATTATAATTCAACAAATCAAACCAAAATATCTGACACAAGAAGACGATTGACCGTAGGGTCATAACGAACGTTTAAGAATATCAACTCTCTGCATCTGACAGCCTAAAATTATTACTACATGCTCTTGGCTGTAGAAATGAGAGGCGGGAAGCTGCCGTCCCCGTCTTTCTTCTCATATTGAAAACATGACGAAGACTGGGACACGGCACAGACCGCTGTTTTCGGTTTGCTCACCTGTGACATTGAGGTGGTATCTGCTCCACCTCTGGGATCAGCCCAACTAATGGTGGGAGCATTGCTTCCAAGCCTGAAATTAGGTTTCGACATGACCCTTCTGGCATGCTCAGCGCATGCATGGTTGTAGTACTCGACGAAAGCGAAGCCTCGATTTTTACCAGGATTTTTTGGATCCTGCAAATGGAAACAAGTTGATGCCACCATGAGGGACTACTTTGCGATCTTGCCAGAAACCGACAACGGACACCAAACACGCGTCCTTGGATTTCGTCAGAATATTAAATCAATAACATAGGGGGTCCATGCAACGATCCGCACATTCTCAGTACGTTAGTTCTCACATATAGAATTCAGCAAGCATTTTCAATCTCGACGGCCTAAGGGTCTACATTCACTAGCTTTACAAACAATAATAGGCTCGACGATTGGGTCCAGCTAGGTGTTTTCGGCTAGCACCTTCAAAAGCTCAACGCTTTGGATCCCTGGTCCTTGTTCAGCTAAAACCTTCTCCAGCTCATCCTTATCCCAGTTTTTCGGAATGTTGCCGACAAACAATCTATGTTTGGACTGAGAATGAGAAAATCGCAACTTCCTTCCCTGCACGACGTGGTTCAAAAAATTCAGATGTACGAAACACGAGAAGTATAATCACAAGCTCACCACATAAGCCGTTCTAAAGTCGCGTCCAGTCCAATGTTAATGCGTTACAAATTTTGCAAAGGCACAATTGTTGTGGACCCCAAGCTAGTCTTGCACGAGAAGCAAAATACCCATGAGGCGGAGAAATCAAGAATCTGACCAAATCTATAATCAGCTGGATCTAAAGTAGTCCCGAATCTGAACTCAACCTTCAAATCTGTGTCATTGAGGGTCTCGATTGCTTTCTCCGCACTCTCTCGCGTAGTAAATGTCACAAAGGCATAACCTTTGTTTTGCCCTGTGTCCTTATCCTTTAATAGCCGTACCTGAATCCCGAGTCAGTGACAAACAAAGTTTTACCAGATTTAGAAGGCGACAAAACGGATCGCCCGGTGGTACATCAACAAAACAATTGAATATCCAGAAAACCATCAACGAGAATCTGAGTACGATATGTCCAACCGCGGCACCCATGACTGGAGAAGAAGTCACAAGTCGGCGACAAATGATCTCACTCAGATGCAGGTAAACCGTCTCATTCAGGGATTTCCGATGCACACGGCAAAGCGGATTGTCATCGAAATGCTTCACCAGATCCTTTACCTCGTAGATATCGCCACAATTTTGGCAGAGAGATCGAAGATCCTCCTCGGCTGTGTCGCGAGTGACTCCTCCAACAAACACCTCTGATCCATGGGGAGGACGCGTGAGTAACTCTCCGCTTTTCTCACCGTCTTTCTCTTCCTTCTCCACTTCTTTATGTACTTCTTCAGTAACAATATCTTCATCCTCCTCTTCCTCATCAGCACCATCAACGGCATCAACAACATCATCCTCTCCGTGCTCACCGTTGGGCATGCCACTCTCTAGCTCCTGATCTTGATCAGGATCATCTTGATACCCAATTCCTTCATCTTCATGCATTTCAAGATCGAGACCTTCCTGCCCCTCACCCTTCTCTTCGTCGTCAACCTCGACGGCTCCGTCGACTTCTTCGTCTTCGGGGTCGACATCACCATCGATGTCCACTTGCTCTTCGTCATGATCACTGTGGATCACCTCTGGAGATGCAGAGTCATCCGCCATGACCACTAGTGTATCTCCTCGCACGCCAGCGAACAGGAACCTCACCTACGAGCTTGCAGTGCAGCTGTGGAGTAGGAGAAGGAAACAGGAGCATTTGCAGAGAAGAGAAGACAAGTGGAGGAAAACGAGGACAGAGGAAAGGGCACCAGAAGGTGCTGCTGAGTGAGAATCTCGAAGGAAAAGCTCTGAGGGCCATGAGATAAGATATATGAGATATGCCTCCTGGGCGCATTGCGACTTATTTGAAAGGATGTGGGAAAAACTACACTGAAAGGAATCAGCTGAAAGAGGCCCTCAAGCAGCAATGTGTAGAACAAAAGCCTTGTGTAAGTGAGATTAAAGAGGATGCCCCACATGTGCACAAAGAACACAAGCATTACTCACTGTTAAGTTGTGAAATCATAAGTTACACCCTTATGACTTATGAGAAACTTCTCTCCTCTCAGAAAGTAAACACATGGTAGAAATGCAAAAGAAAGTCCAAGAAGTCAGGCCAAAAAGTAGGTACACGTTATAGTCTACAGAGATTTCAAACCACCAGCCCCTTCGATTTTCTTGGTTGTTTATATTGAGCGAAGTTGACCTGTGCTAGTGAAAAAGGCAGGACGTCTCATGTGCACACAAAACTAAGGCATTGCTGAACTTACGTTTTGTAATCTTACACCCGTGAGACCCATGAACATCTCCTCTCCTCTCAGGAGCAATAATCCGAGTGCGAGTGCAAGTGCAAGCCCAAATTACGGCTACAGAGTACAGTCACAAGCAGACAAGGATGTAAGTGGCCCCTAACGATTATTGCTACACTGCGTGCACAGGTTACAAACGAAGAAGGAACCTACGAGTGATGACGACAGCTCACAGTAGCACGGTTCGAAACCAAAGTATGTACTGACGCGTCCACGCAACATAAAAGCTTACATATGCGTGTATAAGAAAAACTTAAACAAAACACATACGTCATCACTGCGTAAACTGGCACTAATGGGGCGTGGTGCGTGAACCACATCAGACCGTGGAGCTCGCTCCCACATCTCTTCCAAAAGTTCAGCGGCTCCATACATGACATTCGACAGATGTCTTGAAACAACCCCGTCATCCTTAACTTCGACCTATCAAAATCGAATCGAATCGACTAGACGCCCCTTTGCTAACAGTCCGGGAGCATCCAAAAGATTGGGAGGCAAGCATTTGGGGGTGCTACATCCCACGAAGAATTCATCTTCTGTATCGTGCATGCAGAAGAGATTGGTAGTTGGGTAATTAGGCATAGGACGTATGATTTCCCTGTACCACCAATAATTCACAAGCCTCGACGGAAAAACACAGCATGTAAGTCCGTCTGTCATTGGCAAGGTATGCCTGTATCAAAAAGTGTCAAAAGAATCGACCACTTCACCCATCCGCCTCTAAGACCCTAGTAGAACAGTAACTATGGAACCTTAAAAGTTCCATCGACCTATCATTAAGGAAACACCGTTTGCTATCACTGACCGGGGGCCACGCCGAATCTCGTGGACGGATCGTTTGACAGAAACTTGAAGGACAGAGCCTCCAACCTTCCGACACGGATGAAGAGACCGTTTCCGTGCAATTTCAGTGCCTAGAGGACGACTTCTGTCATCGCGGGCGAAAACAGTACGCGAAGTAAAAACAGAAGACCGACGGTACTGAACGCTGTCAACAACAACCAGATGGGGCGGGCAGGAAGGCGAGATACCTTCCACACAGTATCTCGATCCACGGTACGACAACGAAAGAACCATTAGACGAAGTGGATAACAAGACCTACCGCTATTCAAACTAAAAGCAAGACCTAGCGCTCTGGCAGACCCAGAAATGGAAACCATGAACGAGGGTTCAAGAAAAGGTTCAACAGAACAATCACAGGCTCCTCTCTTCAGGAAAACTACCCTGACGTGCCTCACGAACACAATCTACACGACATCGACCAAGGTCAGAGTCGAGCCACGCTCGCTAGCAGGCTTTACACCGTAACTTTTCGTCACACCAACATCGAAACAGGAACACTCAGAAAACGAAACCACACGCATAACCGACCAAAACACAGAGGTTGCGCAGCAAGGTTTCTCATTCGTACCTGCAGCAGGTTTTTCCAGCTCTCGACTCGATCGCCTTCCTCGAGACAAAGACCCGACCTCCTTTGCCTCCCTGCCTCTTTCTTTCTTTCTCTCTCTCTCTCTCTCTCTCTCTCTCTCTCTCTCTCTCTCTCTCTCAAACCCTTGCAGAGGTGAAGACCTGCTCTGCCTGCCTCTCCCTCTCGCGTCGTTCTTCTCGTCTCGTCTTTCGCCGCGTTCTCAAAATGATCACTTGCCTCTCATCTTTCTCACGTTCCATGGCCTTCATCTTTTGCTCGACCTACTCGGCAGACCCCGCCCCCGCGCTCCCTCCCTCTCGCCCGCCCGCTTTGGTTCTACGTCGGGGTGTCACGGGGCAGACCCTTTGACCTGACCGGACCAGACCGGGCCCGCTTGACACGACCCGACCCGAGCGGGCCCGAGCGGACCGGAATCACCCGATCCGATCCGACTCGACTCCACTGGCCTACATACGCTGCTATAGGCCACAGTCGTCGACGGATGCGATCCCGTGTCTTACTCTCGGCAGCGAGCGAGCGAGCGAGCGACGAACGTGACATGGATGCATTCGCCATAAGCGTACCGCGGAAACATGATTCGTCACCTCTCCTGTTCGTTTGTCGCTTCTGTTGTCTGATCGGAGTTGCGAATTTCTTTCTTTCCCGGATAAGCGCCCGGACATGGTTCCGAGGCGACCATCTCGCGACCTCGGGCTGCAGCCGATACAGTCAGCCAGTCGGTCAGTCGGTCGATTGGCCGGTCTGGTCAGGGCGGTCCCCGAAGGTGCTGTGCCGGACCTCGGATCTCCAGGGCCACGAAGAAGAGTACCTGGTCAGCGCGCAAGGGTTTAGGGCCAGGTCGCAGCGGAGGACGAGGACGAGGACGAGGAGCTGCGAAGCTCGGCGATTGTTCGTGTTTCGTGAGGCACAATTCCATTCAGCGGAGATTCAGGAATTGGAACATCCATCCATCGGACTGGACTGGACTGGACTGGAATGGTCGATCTTCGCACACTATATGTACATTCTCGGTTGAGGCTTTCACTGGATGGATGGATGGATGTTCTCGTCCTCGTGTTTCGCGGGCATCTATCGAGATATTCATCAATTCGCTGTGTACCTCGATCGCGATGTGGTTGCATGGCGCTTTTCTTTTGTTTCGTGTATGTGTGCCAGAGTGGAAAGCATCTCCCGTATGCTGCTTGTTGGTTGGGCTTTAGGCAGCTCTTTTCTCCCGCGCATGCCGTACCGAAACCGACCTCGGGACTTCCGAGGTCCATTTGATTCGATTCCAGTTATCTTCCGAAGAATTGCACCAGAAAACTTCTCTGTCGTCTAGCATTCGCTTTGACCACCGAGGCCAGCCAGAACATCCCTCCGGGCTTCCAGGGAGTTGAACGAAGCGTCGGTGCCAATACGAAGAATCTTCCGCAAACAATTCGACACGACCGACCCGCAACTCTTCACCCCAGCTCCCATCCCCATCCTCATCCCGTGCTCAGCTCGAGCCAGCTCCAAACCAAAGTTCCCAAACAGAACCGAACCATGCCAAGCCCAGACCGGACCAGACTAGCCCTCCCTGTCTTATGTGTGGGACGTACTTCCAACATACGGAGCGATCGATACGAGCAACGACAGCTGCAACTCACCGTCCCTACTCGGGAGTCCTAGATCCTGAAATGGTGAAGGCCGGCCCTCTGTACGGAACGGCCAACGGCAGCTCCTCGAGGTTCGGCTGTGAATGTTCTTCGTCAGTCACACGAACGCTGTATCTCTTTGTAATGAGGTTGCGAGGATGTTGAAGATGGGACGGTTGGCAAAGGACCCTGAGACCGAGAAGTGCCATTTGACGAGGCCATGGTTACTTCGATTCGAGGCCAACGAAATTGCGGGATCACCCTGCTCTTGCTCAGAGTTCAGATGTCGCAACCGAGAGTGGAGGGTCGATAGTAGAGATGGAATTGGATGGATTCGGAGTTTAGACCTGCACAAAGGAGGTACATATCTGCTAACACAGATTTGACGACGCAGGAAAGCAGACGGGCCGGGAGGCTGGCTGGGCTGGCTAGCGCACATCTTTGGTTGTGTGCTCGTCGTTATGCCTGCTATGTGCATTTTGGATGAGCATACGGCGTTGAGATGTCATGAAACTCCCTTGTTTAAAAAGTCTTCCCTGTGAAGTCAATGACAATGCAACAGACATCAGTGTCTCGAGATCATCGTCTTGCCTGCCTAGACGTGACGAACGAACGTGACAGGTTCTGTCACAGAAGTCCACTTAAATCAGATGACAAACTTCAAACTTTTCTGCCCATTGAAGACTACCCCAATCTCGATCACAATAAAGGTCAGAGTCTTGTCGGGATATTATAATATTCAGCCCAGCTAATCAACTGCCGGAAAAACCGTACACAGATTTTGTGGGACATTTTGTGAGCACAGATTTTGCAACTCTGGACGCACAGGTGGGTGGTGCTTGTCAAGCCTCCGGTTGCTTCGTTGCACAGCTCGACTCAGATCGACATCGCACTGGCGGTATACGTCGCGATCCTCACTCGGATCTCGAGATTGAATAAACGTGGAGGTCTTTGAATACCGCAGCTGGTTTCTCCGATGGACCGACGCATATCACTGATGTTCATGCGAGGGCGGATCGCATACTCTGTCGCTCGCTCGCTCGTCCTCGTGCCATCCCTGTTTGCAAGCTTTGGATGCACGAGAGCATTCGCGTCAAATTTGTGACTGCATCTCTAGAAAATCATGAAATTGCTAGATGCTGTTCCATTACACCACCAGCTGTCTGGTCTACGAATGAACCCATGTCCGTCACCACCAAGAGTCGTTCTAAAATTCCCAAAGTTGCCCTGTCCTGCTCACCGAAAATCATCGAACTCGTCCGCACTATCGATCAGCTCGAGCTTTGCCGTAGACGCGCTTCTCAACCCAGAAACACGAGACGATACGATAATGGCTTCGATCCAAAATCGGAATGGCACGTACTAGTCGTGGATCGGGCTGGATACAGTATCCTTCGCTTTCACACAGCACAGCGTTCGGGCCTTTTCGGGGCACTGAGTTGCTCGGCGAACAGCGTAAATCAGGCCATCCAGACCACGGTCGTCGTGGTCGTCGTGACCACCACGGTAACACGGTAGTAGGTGAGCAGGGCCGAAGGGGAGCAACGCAGTTGGAAGACAGAACTGCGTGGATGAGCGGGTGAGTCGCAAGGCGACGCGGTCGGAACGCAGGGGAGGGTGGCGGAGAGGGGGAGAGAGTCGGGGAGAAGGGGAGAAGTGGAGATAGAGAGGCGACGACAGACAGGCAGACCGACAGACAGGAAGGCTTGACGACTAGCAGAGGTTTTTGACGTTTGGAGAAAGGAAAAAGCTGCAGGAGGACGAGGACGAGGACGAGGCAACGGGGCCAGGCGATGGAAGCACAGGCGCTGCATGGGAATGTCGAGAGGAAGCGGGAGGGCGGGCAGGAGGAGCTCGAGCGCCAGCAGCAGTCGCAGCAGCGCTTGAAAAGTCGGATCGATGATTTGATCGGCTCCGCGCAGGCCAGCGACGCGGAGATCGAAGCCGCGAGCGATGCTCTTCTGAACGAGTTGCGCTCGTCTGCGGGCTCCGGCCGGCAGAAAGCCGTCGATCCCCTGCTGGCCGCCCTGCGATTGCCGAATTTGTCCGATCGCGTTCAGGAGACCATCGCTGCCGCTATTTCTCTCTGCTCGGGAGCCCACACCAATCACGCTTCCTCCTCGTATCGAACATTTACCTTTTCGCCTTCTCTTCGTGTCAATGTACCTTTCTGTCTGGCTTCCCATTTGCTGGTGTGCTAGTTGGTAGCGCAATGTATCAAGATTAGGTTGCTTGGATCACCAATGCATATGTGTTCTCCAACTTTCTCGAGTCGGGCTGCGTGCTTCCCGCGATCCTGGCCTTTTTAACGCATGAACTCGTCTTCGGACGTGATCATTTTTACCGTGCAGTTTGGCTGTCCACCACGCCCTACAATCCCACGGTGTCTCTAAGGCTAGCTTTGCTACGATCGATAGATAGCTTTTATCGGTGAATTATGCTTCGGTCGGCAATTTGACAGGACGAATCTTGAATCATATGTGAATTGAGAATACACTGAGTTGCTGGAAGTGACCCCGGGAACGAATCTGTGGATCGTGTTGCAGATTCATGAGATCGACTTTGCGGACGGTGGTGTAGGTTGGAAGGTTTGGGGAGGAGCATTGCTGCTCTCGCTTCGTCTCATAGAAATTCCGAGCCTCGTGAAAAACAAGCGTGTGCTGGAGTTGGGAAGTGGTTGCGGTTTATGCGGTCTCCTCGCATCCAAACTTGGTGCGTCTGAAGTTGTTTTGACCGATTACCTTCCATCTTTATTACTGAACCTCCGCAGGAACGTGTCACTGTTCCGAAATCAGAGGAAAGAGATTCAGAGGCAATTTTCGTATTCGTCCAGATCCGTCAGCTATGACAACCACATCACTTGCGTTATGGCCGAGGATTCCGTGGGACCGCGGGTGGATACATCTCAAGACGATTACTTATTTCCTGGAGAAACCAGCACAAGCACCCGCACCATAAGATTGCGTACGCTCGATTGGCTGGAAAGCCCTGGAACACAAGAGCCTCCCTTGAGTTTCGCGGTAATCTCTCATCCTCTGTGAAAAAATGCATCGTTCCGAGATCTTGCGTTCAGCCTCTGTTCTGACATCACACTGAACAGTTCGGGCACACTTGCGGGGGCGTGTCGACTTTGCACACCCGGCGTCCACCGTATCGACTCACTCGGGTTTGGCTCTTGGCAGAATCTCGACCTGCAGCTGCCTCCCAGGATCTCGACGGAACAAGTTTTCGACGTGGTGATGGGAAGCGATGTGATTTACGAGGAGCGTTTGATACAACCATTAGTGGTGAGTGAAACTCGCTTGTTAATGTCGTCTACGATTCGTTACTCGTGTCTCCGATTAGCCAGTATATCTTATACTCAATCAATACTCGCATGCTGTCCATCAATTTCCGGAAAGCTGAACGGAATGACCCTGCAATGAATTTCGAACCAGGCCACAATGTCTCGACATCTGGCCAAACCCCACGGAAAGGGCCTCATCGTAGCACCTATTCGGGAGAAGCGGCTGCTGGAGGTGTTTTTGAAAGAAGTGGAGCATTACAAGATGAGGGCGACCGTCGTGCAAGTAGAGGCCTCGGAATGGAGCCGCTGCAAGGCCATAGTTAATGGAGAGACAGAGAGCTCCTACGACGACGACGACGACGAGTTTCTCGAGGACGAACAAGGAACCATGCAAGACATTGATTACTACGATGCAGGTTATGTTTCCATCACCGTCACTCACAAACTGACCGCAGAGCCCTTGGACATCGAACACTGATCTGACCAGCGCATATTACGACATACAGGAAGTAGCGTATACTTGTTAGGCCCAATTTACTTCAAAGGTCTGCTGCTGCTGGCAAAACCTTTGTACTACTAGTAGGACGATGTAGTTTTCCTGTGCGAATGATGATTATTTCCATTGTTCGTCTACTTGTTTCCCTCGATGGTCTGAAGTTGCCCTCAGTGGGATTTGTGACCGTTGGCAATTCCAAGGCAGGAGCCCGTCTCTTAGAAGAGCGGAGCGAGGTAGTGAACGCTATCTGGCTTTGAGCCAGGAGGTGTGTAGGCGTTGTCCAGCAAACCACGTCGTGAGCCGAGCCGTCATTCATTCTTCGAGATAAGAGTGAAGGATTGAGTTCTCGCCCGCGTGCTTCGGCCTGCGAGGATTGTGATTACGGGACTCAGTTTTCTCAACGATGTTTTGCGAGCATTCCGCTGCTCTATACTATACTGATTTATATTTGGCAGAAATCCATGTTCAGTTGTGTTCACTTTCTCATTTTCGAAAGTCTTCTTCTACTCGTGCCACCATGCATTTGAAAATCAATTGGATATCTGGATATTGTTCTCATGCATGTATGGGTGAACCCCAAATATCGATGGGCACGCAGTAGGTTTACATTTCTTTCGAACTTTTGTAGCTTACACGCGACCGCAATCGGGTCGGAAGAATTATCAACAAACTTCAGATTGTGTTATCGAATTTTATACTGTCATACGCCTCGCAACAAACTTCCTGGCCACAGGGGACACTGTCCACTTCGCGTCAATGTCTGTCGTGTGAAGCCACGCAAAGTTGACAACACTCGTCCAACCAGGATCAAATTCTCACCAAATTTCACACTCTAGATCTATCTGGCTGAGGAGAGTTGCAGCAGAACCTCGTGATTTCAATGATCAACGTCGAGGGGCCGACGTAACTCCCTGAATGCGGTTCAGAAGTCCGTAACATTCGGGCGGGCCGCAACCCGTATTACTACCATGATTAAATAAATAACAGCATGCCGATTCCTTTAGCTGACGGAGGTAGACCTTCCTCCATACAAGCCCGCTTGTGCTTGTGACACACAACCGGTGGAGATCTGAGCGTCTGTCTGAGCCTCGGGCGAACACGTACAGCGTCGACAGGTCCCTGGCCGGATCGTGTATACCGTATGCACGATCCGGCGAAAGATCTCTACCCACGATCTACAAACACGTCGTATAATGTATACGACGTGTGTAGAGTACGCGAATTAACGAGAGGCTCCTTGACAGTGCTGGAGGAGCCAGAGCAAATGGGCTCGGAGCTGCCTGGCAGCAGGGTACGTGAGGTCCCTGGGAACGCCGACCTTGTTCATGAGGAACTGCGCGGCGCCAGCCACGGCGTCCTTGCGGGGGAAAGTCGCGGGCAGTGGTACTCGGTCCGTACCGAGTAGCAGAGCTTTGGCGACGTAGCGGAATCCCAAGTCCACGGCCTCGGCGTTCCTGCCCGTGCCGTCGTCGTCCTTGACGCCCCGGAGCGCGAACCCGACCACGGCCTCGTGATTTTTTATGAAGCATTGCGCGGCTTCTTCTCGGGCTCCGCCGTCGCCCGTGCCGTCATCGGCGCCCCACGCCGTCACCTCGGGCTTCAACGGCAGCTGCCAGCTCCCCTGCGTTCCGTCGATGTGAGCCCTCCACGCTGCGCCCTGCGGCTCGGATCTGCAGGCTCCGATTTGCGGCTCCAAGTTGTGTACGATGTAGAAATCGTCCGACTTTATCGCTTGATACGCAGGCCTCGAGTCCATGGCGTCGTACCACCGGTTGACGGCCGGCCACCGGTCATTTCCGCGGACCACCAGTCCCGGCCAGTATGGCATACTGGCGGCAATTCTCTCGAGGAACGGCGCGTAGACGGCATCGATCAGCGAGAACTGAGTGACATCCGAGCGGCAGCGGCGATTAGCATCACGATCTCCGGATCGACGCAACGAGGAAATTGATTCAGGAGGAGAGAGGGTTGGGCGCACGCACCTCTGGGCCCAGAAAGTATGGGCCGCCGAATTTATTCAGAGCTGCGTTGACGGTGTCCATGGTGCTGTCGAATGCCCCGGATTTGCCTTTGAGCCTGCTGAGCCATGCGCCGAAGAGTCGTCTCTCGAGCTGGAGGAGGCCGTCCAGAGAGGACCACTGCGGAGAGCCCGGGCGCGGGAGCATGGGGTTTTTGTCGGAGAATTTCGATTCCAGCAGCAGCATGATGTCCAAGGACTCGGTCAGAAGCTTGCCATCCAGCACCACGGCCGGAAGCAGGCCCGAGGGCACCATGCGCGTGTACCACTCCGGCTTCTGCCCGTAGCACCACATGTTGATCTTCTCGACCGTGTAATTCAGCTGCTTCTCCTCCAGCAGCAGCCATAGGCGCTCGCAGTAAGGGCACCACGCGGAATTGTCGCGGTACACCACCAGCTTCGATGCGTCGTTCCCCGGACCGAAGATCCGCTCGGTCGCGTGCGCAACTCTCGGCTGCGGGCCGAATTTCTTCCCTCCCAGAAGGCTCTCGAGCTCCTCCCACTTCACGTCCACGCCCGTCTCCACCATCGCTGCGCTTGCACACCCGACCTTGCGCTTCTCCACAACGCCTCTATCACCCCCGCTGAGCCTGAGGCCTGCTGCTGCTGCTCCTCCTCCTCCTCCTGCGCTCCTGCTGCTCCTCGGCGCCCGATTCCACGACCATGCCGGAGATGCTTCTGCACCCGCCCGCTGCCAGGCTCGACATGTCAACCGGGGCGCTGCGACTGCCACGCTCGAGAAGCAGAGTGCTGGATTTCCGAGCAGATTGCCGCACATCATCGCTCTTGCCCTTCGTGGTTACGTCGCCGAGTATTCCCTCTTCTCCTTCTCCTCCTCCTCCTCCTTTCTGCAGGAGGAAGGAAGCCTTCCGAGCGCCTCCGCCTCGTCCTCCTTCCGATTTGTGTTCGAGCAAATTTGTACGTGGACCTCGCTGGGCCTCTGGAGCGGGCCCCACTTCATCTTCCTTCCTTCCAGAATGTTTGTTTTGTCTGTGTACTGCGGCGAGATTCGTGCTCGTGCTCCAGTTTTACTTTCTTATAGAAACTGGGGCGCTGTCACGACTCTGGCCATCCCGAAAACACTTCGTAGCTCTCTCAGGGCTCAAGACTAGCACCTCCGGGTCTGTGCGGATGTATCATCGAACTTGAGCGCTGCATCCCCGAATGGGTGAGAGCGCGATGACAGCAGACGACCGGGAGAGAATCGGGCAGTCGAGTCGGTCGGACGCACAGAATGAATCGTACGGGGCAGGAGAACGTGTTGTGGTCGAACGCAACGAGCCGCTGGCCTAGAGGTCAGTGCGTCGTCAGAGAGAGCGAGCGAGCAACGATTTTGGGCTGAGATGTCGAAGCACTCGTAGCTCGCGGAGCAGGGATGGTAGCCGCCGTGCAATGGAGCACACTCGGGCCTCCTGCGGGACTGACGTCGAGGACGACGAGGCCTTTGGAAGTCAGTGGCACGAGGTACACCAACAATCCATGGACCCCTCGCAATTGCGGCATCTCGGCCATGTCGAGCGAGAACGACGCCCGGAGCACGAGTTCCGGACATTTTGCCGGTTTATCGTCCCTGAAGGAACAGCTGCTCAGCGGCCGCGAGGGAAAGCAAAGCGGACTGCCGACGGCGAAGCAGCAGCAGGGGCGGCGGACGCCTCCTGAGACCGAGAAGGCTCCTGCCCGGGAGCCGCCGCCGTCGATCAGGCAACCGACCGCGAACGGCGAAGACTCCGTGGCTCTTCTGGTGGCCAATCTGCCCAAGGAGCTGACGAAGGCGGAGTTCGAGTCGCTGATGCTCAAGGATCCTCAAGTCGCTCGCTGCACGTACCTGACCCACAAAAGTGGCGATTGTCGTAGCTACGGATTCTGCGAGCTCCGGCCGGGAGCGGATGTCACCGCGGCCATCGAACTCCTCAACCGGCAGACGGTCGGCGGCCGGCTGCTCAGAGCTTCCATCGCCACCGGCAAGAAGGAATCCCTGGAGTCTACCCCGAGGATTTCTTCTCGAGGAGACGCCCGAACAAAGGCGGCGACGACGACGACGAGTGTGAAGAACTTCAAAGCGAGTCCGAATCCGCGAGATAAACGGGAGAGTGACGGTGGAGCTAAATCACTCGGGGGAGCCTCGAATTCGACTGCCGGAGGACGCCAATCTTCGCAGCAGCAGCAGCAGCAGCTAGGCACCGTTACTCGATTGTCTCGAGCGGGAGCCGGACCCTCGAAGCCCCCGGGCGAGGCTTCCCAGTCGGGCTCCAATGCTCCACTGTCCGGACAGAAGGTGCTGGACGCGTTGGAAAGGTTCGCCCGACAACGGAAAGCTATCGGAGAAACTCCCGGCAATCGTCGAGTTTCGTCGGATTTCAAAGCCGAGACGGATGGTACCGATGAGAGTGAGCCGGAGCCCGTCCAAGTGAGACCCGATTGGCCCGATAGAATCGCGTCTCTTGAGGCCCAGATTCAGCATTTGAGGCGATTGTGACTCATTTATTCCTCGTCCCTTCACTCGCCGTCTTTCCCTTCAGTCCAGACTCTGAGACTCCCGCTCTTCGTTCACTTTCAATTCAACTTGGCCTCTGTATGGGACGCTGGTTCTATTTAATAACCCGAGACCTTGGTACTCTCGTCCAGCTGCAAGGGACATTAACAACACTCAACTGTCAATATCCACTGTCCTGGGCTGGTGGAACCTACAAGGGCGAATGGACAGCCCCGTTCTACTGCAACTGCATTGTAGGTAGTGTTTCTAGGCACCAGTGGCAAGTGCTTTTGCTGCGAGATTACCAATTCCATCTTCATGTTCTGAATAAGTTCACATCTCTGACGCGTGGTCGAAGATTGTACATATGTGTTGTTTCAATTCAAATAAAAGATCCGCTTTACTAATGTGAGTGGAAAAGTAAAAAGAAGAGCCCAGTGAATAATACGCAGGGAAAACAGTCGGGTTTCTTTGCTTGTCCCGAATTTTATTTTGATGTGAACGAATCAATCTCAACCCATCAATTCAAAAATAAAAAACACTTCAAATCAAACAATGAAAAGAACGAGAAGGAAACTGGATATTACTCACTGAAAGTCTTGAAACTCTCAATTCAAACATATGTGCTCCAAATCCTCGTCAGTTGCAACGCATGTAAACGTCAAGTGAGTACTTAATGCCCATGCAACACAAAAAACATGATGTATTTAACAGTATCGTGAACTGTTATCCTTTGTGTTAGCTGTAAGATGAAGAAATTCACATGTGGACCAAGCCTAGTACATACCTCGTTGTTTCCTAAAACAAATCGGTGAGTTCGAAAATACTAATGAATAGGTTAGGAAAGGTTTGCAGTCCGCATACTTGCCGCAGCAAAAAGCATCCTTTGAGCCAAAAGCAAATTAACCTTATTCACCAAATAGAAAATTAGAGTCACAAAAATTGAATGTAAAGGTTGTTGTGGTTGTTGATCGAACCAAATAGATTGTAAATCTTTAGTGGAATTTACGGTGTATGGGAGAAAAATAGGCAAGATCATTCAGTATTTCATTATCTAAGGGCGTTTCTCATATTACTTAAGATTTCTTATACATAATAGAACCTTGTACCCGCATCTTGGTATATACTTTGAGTAAAAGTATATCTGCAGTCACAAAGCTCAAAGATAATGAAGGTTTTTAGATTATAAAATAAATTAACTGCTGAGAATGATGTCTGTTTCATTGACAATGGAAACTTTCACTGCATACTTTTGAAACTCTAAACTCCTAGATGAAACTGGAAACATCGAAAAAAGTAGATTGATCAACTATCAAAATGATAGTAAAATATCCCAACGCCATACGTGATTTTTCTAGAAAAAAGAGGGTCATATTTATACAATATATATTCAACCAACGCATCTTCCAAATTACCGAAAACAAAATCTTTAGATCTAATAGAACCCATCGGAACTTAAACTGCTTGATGTGAATTTCAAGTTTCTTTTTACCCGATTAGATTAGATCTCACCGGTGAGTTCTAATAAGTGTTCTTAATTATGTACTATAATGTTGTTTTCCACGGCCAAGTGGGCTGACAGCGTCCAAGGTCTGGCAGGAGCCAAGCACGACAAGTCTGTTGCTCTTCAATGTCAAGTGGCAAAGCGGACATGTGATTTTGGACTTCAGGTTCGGTGACCGGAAGCGATTTCGATAGTAACTCGAAGTAGTCTATTTTCTAAAGCAAATGTGAATGTTGGGCAAGGATTTGAGTTTGATCAAACGATATCGCATGTTTTTTTATGGATGTTCCAAGTATCAGCAAGTGTGTAGTTGTCGAACTTCAAAGTATGACGACGATGATGGATGATCATCAACAATGATGATGAATATTCATGAATGCTCGAGAATCAGACTTCACAAGTGCTCAAAAATCGGACTTTACGAGTTACTCCGACGCCCATAATCAAGAGGTTATAAATAACTGCGTGTGGGTACAGAGCGCTCTCTCTCAAGCTCGCCAAGAAGAGCAGCATCATCCAATTCGGATGCAGATTCCGAGTTCTTGCATGCACTTATCTATCGATTCCAAAAAATTTAGCAACGATCTGAGCACCAATTCATAGTTAGAGCTCCACTGTGTGAGAGAGATCGTCTAACATCGGGAGTCGCAAGCTCCACGGCATTGGGAAAGAGAAACTAAACCTTTTGTTCATATTAGAACATGTATGACGTGTATCGTCAGTGAAATCTCATCGGGTGAAACAAAACTTGATGGATCCCATCAAGCAATTTACATTCCGATGGGATACCATCAAGTAAATATCTAGATCTAATGGACATGTCTAAGAAACGTAAACCATTAGTGCATGTCAATTATTACCGTAGGAGATCAAAATAAGAAGTGTGATTTGAGGAAAACATTTTAAATTGACACCTCAAATTTAAAATAATGCAATACGAAGCTTGGTGGTCAAAGTCATGTCCAATGAAATTAGTCAAAATCATAACGTGTATCAGCATCTAAATAGTATAACAAAACATTAGTTACTCCAATTCTCATTCTCATCATACATTATTAAACGTTTCAGAATATTGAATGCAACACATTTTTAGCTATATTCACTTAATACTTGATCTTGCTATATGTGTGTGTAAAAGTATAAATAAATATATATTCATTCAAGTAAATGCTAAAATATACTAAAACAATAATCCACATTTGAAAAGTGTAAATGAAAAGAAATTGCGTCCATTCTTCCATTCTAACATATAATGTTGCTAAACAACAGTTTCCTTTCCCAAAATATTCTAATTCACATACATCTCTCCGCTTGTAACCTATTGACTAGGAAAAGATGATGCATTATACTTGTGTGATTATCAGGCTAAAAAAATGGGGGTTTAGTCGGGATGCGTGGTTTAAGGGAATTCGATATGAAGCAAGACGTGGAAAATTTGACAATCGGTGTGGATCCATTCACACCACATCAACTCGAACTTGACACGTCCTTAAAGAGTAAAACTAGATTCCCATGGCCTTTGCGGAATGAGAGAAACGATGGAAATCTTCCCAGGAGACATGGCATTGGGTATCGGTCCTCAAATATCTCTGACATTATTTTGCCATCTCACAGATGCTACCGGTCAGAACTTCATGTGTTTAATTCCACAAAACGAAGTAGTCGATAACCAGCAAGGATGAGAAGCTTTCATCGCGTTAGGAATGTCGGAATGCAGTCACTAAGACGAAAAGCACTCCTTATCAGTAGGAAGATCCGGCCGGCCCAAGAGTAACATTTCAGTGTAGCAGACGGGGAGCGTACATTTCTCGAACGTTTCTTCTGCACGTACGTATGTATACACAGACAGACATACGTACACAGTGGATTCAAGACGAGACGAAGAATTTGCAGAATTGGACGAAGATTAACGATAAAACCAAGAGTCAGTATCGATCGTGAAGAAAAGGGTTGGGTTGTGTGATTGCTCGTGTTGGATGCTGAATTTCAGTTCTACCCTGATACATCGGCCGTCGGTGATGCTGTCCGCGTGCGATAGTAAGTTCTGACCTCTTCTTCTCACACTGCGATGGATTTGGTTGGAATCGGATTGTGAGAGTGCTCAGCTCAGGAAGATGGTCCTGGCTGAATGCTTGAATATTGTAGCTCGAACCCACGCCCAACTTCACTCACCTCCTACAGATGTCTTTCGGTTCCATCGCCCCCGCTCGCGCGATGTCTCGTTCGGGAAAATTCTGTCGACCTGGGGAACGGACGAATGCAGCGGGCGTAGTCAGGAAAGCCGGTCGATCGACCAGTTGCCGGGGGTTGTGTTCAGGGGTCTGGCGAAGCACTATACTACACTACCTTTAGCCTTATAATCCTTCTTCTTCTTCTGCTTCTTCTAAGGCTGGGAACAAGTTAAAAAGGTCGGATCAGCTTTTTGAGGCTACCCGCCACTAGTCGTAAGATGTGGCAGGGACAGGCTCTCTTGATTCGCACGGTGCAGGCATGTGGACGAAGACTGCGCCGTTGTGTGGGTCTAGTGTTGGCACCGAACGATCGATGAATTCATGCTCCACCTGAGCGAGCGAGCGAGCGAGCGAGCGAACCTGAGGCCATTCACCTGGGGGTTTGAGCAGTAACGACGTGATTTGACGCTATTCGTGCAGGCAGAGACATGGCGGCACGAGCTGCCGAAGGGCTCGCATCCACAGCTCTTCGGAACGTACTGCAGCGCGTGCAACAGGCTGCAGAACGCGCCTCTCGTCAAGCTTCTCAGGTCAGTATTCCATTTCTTCTTTCCTATTCGAGATCGTGGAAACTTGTGCCAAGATGAACTTTTTTGTCACGGAGACGCGTGGGGTTTCATCGGCACGTTTTGCAAAAATGATGTTCGAGAAATCTCTCGCAAAATTCAGATGAAGGAACTGAACGCGTGTTCTCTTCGATTTCTTCAGTCTCCCATCTTACCAGGGAATTTTCGCAGCAAAATGCATCACTTAATTGCCCTGCTCGTGTATCACATTGGGGTCTGCAAGTCAAGGTCTTCCCCGTTGGCAAGGAAAATCTATAGCATGGACGAATTGGTCGAGTAGCAGTTTTAGTTCTCGCTGCATGGAGAAGAACTCCGCTAACGAATTAGAGGAATATAAGGATGTTGACACAGGTGAGGGTCGTTGCAGTCAGCAAGACGAAACCCGTGGTTCTCCTCCAGGAGGTGTATGATGCTGGACACCGCCACTTCGGAGAAAACTACGTTCAGGAGATCATCGAGAAAGCGCCACAGGTAGGTGCCGAAAACGAAGTGTTGGCTTGAAGAAGCCTCGGCGATGAATGCACAGTCTACGAACTCATTCTAAGAACTACCTTTCCAGAGCAGCAGTCGCGCTGAATGTTATGAAAGGCGTTCTTTGCTGGGTGATCCTTTGCTGATGGTTTGAGACGCGCAGATGCCCAAGGACGTCCAGTGGCATTTCATAGGGCATTTGCAAAGCAATAAGGCGAAGGCGCTTCTAGGTCAGTGCCTGTGATTGTTCAAACTATTGTTCATTCCTCTCAGTTTGCGGGCAAAGACTTCAGGATGTACAAGATCGTAGGAGTTTACATACTGATATCTGAAGCCCCTCACTCAGTCTGTTGTCTCTCCAAGATTTTATGTTGCTTGATAAGGTGGACCTTGATTTGACCGTAAACAGAGTGAAGGTTTTGGAATTGGGGTTTGGCTATTGCGACTAACTCCCATGTTTATGTTCTCCTGTTCCCGTCACGATTCTCACGGGTCTGACGTACAGCTGGTGTACCCAATCTGTATATGGTGGAAGGTGTTGACAGCCCCAAGGTATCTTAATCGCACCGCATTCATCTGTAGAATTCATTTCCCTGCAGCGTACATCCTCTGAATATCTTCATTTTCTATTGCGGACTTTAGGTTGCAAATCATCTGGAGAAAGCCGTCGCAGGGTTGGAAAGAAATCCTCTGAAAGTGCTGGTACAAGTCAACACAAGTGGAGAAGAATGTAAGCCTTTTCCTGATTAAGACGTTCAACTTTTGGCCTGTGTGAGTGCGTTCGTTATGTAGCCAAAGCTTTTGCATATTGCTTATATACTTCGACAACTAGTTAGACGATGGGGAATTATCTCTCCAGCCATCAGATCGGAGTCGTGAAAAGTTGAACGGCGAACGTGCTACTGGCTTCATTGTTGCGGGGAATGCTTCTTCTGTTACGCTCTTAGATCCTTCTATTATTTTGCCGATGAGTTAAAGCATACATCGATTTCTTTGTATGTAACGAAGTATGTTGAATGGTTGTTCTCTTGATTGTCATGCAGCAAAGTCTGGAGTCGAACCATCGGAGTGCGTTGAGCTTGCAAGGCATGTGAAATTGGAGTGTCCGCACCTGGAATTTTCAGGGCTGATGACCATCGGCAACGCCGACTACACTTCAACTCCTGAGAACTTCAAGGTGTTTGTTTGGACGTTGTCTGGTGGCTAGTTTGTGAAAATCAGTGCATTTCTTGCTCGAAACTCTGGAAATATAAACCGTGATCAGCACATTCGTTGGACCGTTAACTTCTGTTGAGAAGAAAACGAAGCGAAGGATCCAACGTTCCGAAACTAACTAGAGAAGTTTGTGTGGAACAGACTTTGGCAAGCTGTCGTGATCAGATTTGTAAAGAGCTACAGATATCTCCCGAACAGTGCGAACTCTCTATGGGCATGTCGGGGGATTTCGAATTAGCGGTAAGAGATAAGTGTTGAGTGTTTCTTTTGACCGAGTATATGTGTGTAAGGTTGCCTGTTCCAATCCAGGACGCTCAAGCATTCGAGTTACGGGGTTATTGTGTCTACAGGAGAACCGAACTCATTTGTTCTAGACCTGACTTCTTCGTTCTGTCTGTTGTTGTGTGCTTTACAGATCGAGATGGGTAGTACCAACGTAAGAATCGGTTCAACTATCTTTGGAGCGCGTTCGTATCCTGTGAAGACTTAATGTCTCGCGTGTGATTCGAGAAACATCCTTATGCAGAACTGCTTCCGCGTGACAACATATGTAGATATGTTCTCCAGCAGCTAGTTACAATGTTTAACCAGCCTTCTGTGTCACATGATTAGACTTGCGACTTTGATCAGAAAATGTGTGTTAGTGTTTAAGCTAGCAACTTGATTACGGAAGGGCACTGATCGAGATGAAGTTTGCAAGGAGATGTGACCCTGTATTCTTGTCGACAAGACAAAGAGATTCTCAGTCTTGAGTATTATTTAGCCCGAGCAATCGGACTTGGTTGATACAAGTGTATGGCTTTGTGAGCGCTCGGTCGAAATAGAATTATACCCGTAGCAGGAGAGGTAAGGGACTTGCCGAAGCGGTTTAAAGTCTTCCTAGCTGTCTTCAAGATGTAGTTTATAGCCAGAGTCAGGGCACATAACATATGAAAAACATGTACAATCTGAATAAGACTACTGGTGACTGGTTTGTTCTTATCTATCCTGCAACTCTCAGATCTCTTATCTTTCTAATCTAACTAGACGCGTACGGGAGGTCCCTTGCCACTGATGAATATTTGCTTGTGAAAGGTCATGGTTTTCTTTGCCCCAAGTTGATCTTCGGAGATACATGGGCTTAAGATAGCCCCTTAGAACGACCTTGTTCTGTTGACGACGACAGGAGGAAGAAACCAACCGTCTTTGTCACGAACTGAATGGTGCGTACATATCGTGTCTATAACGATGAGGTTCTTGGAAGTTTCCCTCGAAGACAGTACCGACAGCTCAACTTGGAGTCAGGACAAACATTCGACATTCGTCTTTTGCCATTAGCAGGGGCTTGGAAAACCACAGTACAGCTTTGATGGTACTTTGTAGTAAGAGGCAATGTAAGGGTCATCCTTCAATTGACCGACATATGTGTGGGCATCTATTATTAGGTCCGGTACATCTCTATCAACGGTTCCACGAAGACCCTCAGGGTAGACGCAGACGCACCTTAACAAGTATGTATATTAGGGAAGAAGAACTTTTATCTGCTCAAAGTTAGTCTTTCAGAAACAAAATGGGCACGAACATACCATAACATGTCTTGGTCCAGTCATATTTGGCTAGAAGTCCGAGTCTGAGCATGGAAACACGTCGTTTGATACTTAAAGTCTGTATAGCGCTGGTATCGATGGTTAATCGCAGTTTTCGAGTTCTTACAACTTAATACAAATTGCTGCCATGAGTTCACAGAAAATGCTCTAGTCCTGAGATCCAAGGCATCAATAACACGATAGAACAAACTTAAGACAACAGAGGTTGCACAATGGGGACACGCAGAATTTTAATGTAGGTGATTATAGCGCCACGATCAGACTTCAGCCGACTAAATAAGGAGAAAGGAAGAGGATCTACAGGAAAATGACTCTTTGGGCTTGAGTAAGGGTTTGCTGTCCACTTGGGCCCCTTCCAGTTTGAAGGTGTAAATAAGAATCAAACGAAAACAGTTCATTGAAACGTCTTCCTTTGGAAATTGTGACCCGAAATTCGATTAGTCTTTATTGATGTACTTGTTTATGTGTTGTCGAATGCCAGAAATGGTCACTAATGGGTGGTGTACGTAGTTGTGTTGAAAGTAATGTCGCTTCCTTGGCTAGAATGTAAAATATTTCATGTCTAGAAATATATATTAATCTAGTTGCCGAATGAATGAGAACGCTAATTTGAGGAAGGGTTTCACGTAGTTGACTGAAAGTTGCGGGACGTTCTTGGAACATAAATGGACTAGATATCCCGGAAATATCAAGCAAAATAGTGATGACATGAAATACTGCCAGTCACAAAATGTGTCACATTTCATATCTAAAGGTAAAGTTTATACAAGTCAAGAAGTTGACATCATATATGCCACAATAACTTTACAAGTCTACATGATTATGTGAGTATACCACTTACGATGCAAGTATCTCAGATCTTCCAGCTTTTACTTCAAGTTGTGGGACATCGATGCGAGCCAAGAACTTGCCTACTCGAGATTTGTAAGATCACATTTTTTCACATAGCATATATTCATCACAAGAATCCCTGTTCTCCGCTTTACTCTGCTTTCTTATGCAGCTTGATGTACATTAAAACCATTTGTTAGTCTTCTTGTTTTTAAATCCATGTGGGCTCTCTTCGTTTTTTGACAACAACAAAGGGACCACGTTGGTAACAAACAAGTACAGTATGGAATCCCCGTCAAGCCTAAGAGGGAAGAGTCGAACGACTAACGTCATCTATCTAGAAAATAAACTAAGTGCTGAGAGTGGTAAAAATATTCAGACGGTTCATGATAGTTGAAATGGAGTAGACCTTATATAATAAACACATTTGCTTGGAGAGACATGAGCAACTTTCCTGCATCACTTGGATTTGCTCTCCTCGGCATCGCCTTTGTTTGACCTGTTATGGTTGGGACATGCGTAGCTCTTGTGGATTATGTAATGTAAAACACCCGTGGAAGAGTCAGCATCTAGTGATACAACAAATATCCCCACCATACAGATAATGCTTTCTATGTCCGATTGTAGTGGATGGTATACTTAATATATACTTGTACTCCTTTGGACTGAAATGTTGTATGGAGAACTATGATGACACATGGATCAGTGGAGTGGCACCGGCTTCGCACAAGATGGACATCTACACAGCATTGATTTTTCTCAGCAAGGTTTGATTGGAAAACAAAGTCCTTAAATATCATATCATCATCAATCCACAGATCTAATTACAGGAAAGTCAAGTCACTTCATCAGTCTAAAGGAAAATAACCAAAAGAAGAGAATCTATCAAGTCCCACATAGAGGGATGGATGGAACCAAACGTCTTGCTTGAATCTGATCCAAGGGATGCAGGAACATATAATTTCATTGTTTTCGTGCCATTATGCAGTCGAACTAGTCACGGCTGATTCCGGCGTCGAAGTGAGTGACGGACGCCAGCTCGATCGCAAATATATGTCTCGCGATTGATTTAGTCATTCAGCAATCTCTAAAGATGGGAAATTGAGGAAGCTGTTGAGATTTGTTGCTGGGTGAAGAGAAATTGAGTTGTTGAATTGAGGGTTTTGGTGCAGCGAGACCCATCAACTCTTAAAACCCTAACCCTAGGAAGACCTAGGGTTTAATCGAGGACGTGAAGCATGAATGAAGCTTAATTTTGTCACGCACTGGGGCACAGTGGCAAAGCGCCCTTTGGTAAGCTCGGGAATGTTTGGAAGAAATCGGAATGGAACTGGAAATGCTGGAATAATAATCAACTGTAGGATGACCTTACGGTTGTGCCCTCTGACCGGAACTGCAGAACGATAGTGCTGTATTGCTCGTTCTGCGTTCGGTCGTAACGTTCGAAATGAGAAATTGAGTCGATCGTACGTGCGACGGGAAGGGTTGTTGATGTGGTCTGTCCAGATCCGCCAGGAAATTCCGAAAACTGATGCCTTTCGTCAGTTTTACTTCTGAACCGAGTGTTGAGTGAATTGTCGAGGATGGCCACTACATCGAGGCAGCTGCAGCGGGGGTTTGTCAAGGCCTGTACGGCTTTGGGACCTGCTTGTTTGAGCACGTTAGTTGCTCGAGTTGACGAAATTGTTTCTCGGGAATCAGTTGTTCGCAGGATCAGTAGCACAGGTTTATCTGAAGCCAGCAGTACGGCTCCTGCTCTGGATTCAGTCTTGGAAAGCCGACAGGCATGTAAGATTGAGAAAAGGAGGACTAATTATTCGGAATGCAATTCTTCTCGGACTATCAAATTTGAGGAATCGAGAGACGAGGAGATTCGAGAGGCAGCTCCTTCTTTTCAACATGAGATTTTGAAAGCAAATGGTTTTTTTGGTGTGACGTCTCAAGGTCTGTCATCGCCTCGAGGATTGAGATTTATGTCAGCTGACGCTTCAGAACATGAAGCAATCGTACCAGAGGACGAAAATTCGGCTTTGAAATTCCTCGATAAGGCGGATCAGCCCGTAGCGTCCGAAGAGCCAGAGCAGGACTCGTTGTACACATCGGCTGAAGGCCCTACGCAATTTTCCGCTGCCGATGTTAATCGCTTCTTCACATTGAGGTCAGTGGCCATTCCTCTGTAATTAAGGACCTTGGAGTGCAAATTGGTCTCTGCAGTCTCCCTGTGGACTGGTTATCTGGAATTAGAGCGGGGAGGGAATGGTGTTCTCGAGCCATAAATCTGAGGAGGGTTTTAACGGTCGGTGATCATATGAGACCATCTGCTTCTTCAATGTTCAAATGAACGGCTAGTCGAAAGATTGCATCTCAAGTGAGCCTTTATCACAGAGATGAAGGAAGGCTTAAGATCAAGAACTCCGCGAACAATTGAGAGTGAGTGTTAGAGAACATCAATTTGCATCTCTCTCAGTGGAGGCAGAGTGATTGGCGTTTGAATAATGTAGCTTAGGATGCATAAGCTAGGGGTTCGAGTCCAAGGAGGACCTCATCGCATACATGGCTCAACATTACTACATAACAACAGCAGTACGACGATGTTGGCGATGCCACAGCTTAACCAATAGAATCTAGTGAAAACATTGTTGGGAATCGGAAAGCAAGCGAAGTATGATTTCGTCCTCAATTGATTCAGGGAAGCAGGCCTTGGATGCATATACCTTCAAAGTAGTACATATTGACATTGTGAAGCCCAAAACCGAGAATCTTTATTGACAATTCCGAATTAAGGTGTCGGGCGCTCTGTGGTACTCTAAAAGCTGCTCAAGCCGCTGCGGTTGAGGGTTTTCGTGCGCAAGACGTTTGTTGGGAACTTACGGCATCTGAACTCCAACTGCCCTTCTCGAATCTAACATCTTTTCAGGGACGATCTGACAAACGAAACGGTAGAACAAAACTTTCGAGAAATTTACTGAAGCTGTTGAAGTGGTTTTTTTTTCTGATGCAGTTCAGAGGATGTGGACATTTATTTTGGTGAGGGTTTACCCCCTGGATTGTTAAAAGAGTTCGAAGAGACCAGAGAGAGATCGTTTCTGATACGGGGCAGAGTCCTGGAGCTGTTTGACCGGTTCAAGCGGTGTCATGCTGACACAGTTCATGCGAAGGATGAAGGAGGACGGGTGCGTTCTGCGGGTGAGCACGAAAATACAGTCCCCTGTGTAATCCGTTAAGCGACCCCTGTAAAGTCTGCTCTAGCGGTGATGGTTTTCCATGCTCCTTGCTATTGATTGGTGCCGTCTCTTGTGTCGGAGCCACTGTTTTCCTTCATATATGTTCTGTATGTGGACCGAGGGCTCTGCTCTGCTAAAGGCAGGGTATCATGTCGACGAATCGTTATGCCATTTGGCATCTCCAAGTCAGTCGTACTCCTGTCATCTCTTGAACCAGAAAATTTCATGTCGCCCTCGTTGTTGTCGTTTTTGTCCCAGTAATCTTCGGACTCTTGCAACTTTGTCATGTACTGGTTTTCTACAGTTTTATGGCTGTGCCAGTCTTGATCATCAGTGTCTATCGTATCACTGCTTAATGTGTTTGTGCTAATACTGCTGTCGCTGCGGAAATGACCGAACACTTCACTGTCGGTGGCAGTCTGCCGCCACCGGGCACCTGTGGTTTCTGTGTTAAGGCTGTCGCTTCCTAGAGTGCTCGCCTTTTCCCAGAAGGATAGAGATTCATCCAATTCGCGTCTTTCTGCGTATACATCGCGTTGCCAACCCTTTGAATTGCTACGTTTTGTATCACTGCTCATCGTGTCTGAACTTGGATAGCTATCTCTGCTCGGTTGAGTATAAATGAAGCTGTCAGCTGCCTTGCTCTCATTTGAGCCGTCTAAGTCGTCCTTGAGGCCGTCTTCATGAAGGTAGTTGTGATACACTCTTAGTTTGATGTCTCTTAAACTGTTGCCGCGCTGTTCCTCATCATCGTTACTCCATGTATCACTGCTTAGAGTATCCTCGCTGCTCTCACTGCTCAAACGAGAAATTATATGACCGACTTCATTCGCCTCCTCATAATTAGATCTGTTTGTGAATGCGTCGTCGCTGATGTTGCTGTCAGCCCATTCGGTATCATCTGTTTCCCAGCTACTATAGTCACTGCTTTCAATGCGGTCTTCAGCATTCCTGTGGAAAGATATTGGGTCATGATTGTGATCCTGTCGACTGTACTTTTTCCTGTAATTCCGAATTCCATTACTAGATCTGTCACTGAGGGTCATTGTTTCAGAACTCGAAGGTGTGTCACTAGATGATCTGCTGTCGCATCTTTCATCTCCTTGTCCATCTTTCTTCGTGAAAAGGGGGCTGCTCTGTTCGATTAAAGCACTCATTGCGTCATGTTAGTTACATGTTTTGCTGTGGTGATATTCGCATGTGTTAGTGAAATGGTTGGCCAGCCCTGGTGATCTTCTCCTCTTACGCCCTGCGACTGAGTCTTGTGGATATCTGCTCTTTGTAGAAGTTTCCTCGGATAAATTGCTTGTAATGTTGCCTGCAGTACTCCAAGCTGTGTGTCCATCCTATTTCCCTACTACGTCCTCGGTCATCAATGTCTCCAGAGAGTTTCCGATGTCGGTGATATTCCGGGAGTTGTAGTCGATTCAACAGGTCTATACTCCTCTTGATGTTCCCGGTCTCCTCGAAGATAATTATCTGAGTCAAAACCGTTCCGACTGCAGTTCCTTTCGGAAAGTGTTCGTCATGTATGATACGCACTGGTCATCTACAGAGTTACTGGACCAAAGATTGGGTCAGAAAACCACTTCAGTATCTGGGCGCAGTATAATTGTCTGTTAAGACATCTGTTTCAGCTCTGAGGTCTTTGCATGCACTAAGAGAAATATACATGTCTCCCTTCATACTCTTTCCAAGTACAAGCAAACGGCTGGAGGTAGGAGTTTGCTGAGAAGGTTCTTCGAACTCATCCGTTGAGACCCTCCATTCGTGATTCTTCGTTCAGGCCTGATTTGACCTCTACCACTCTCACAGTGTAGCGCTGACTGTTGTTTATGAATAATAGTCAGTCAAGCGGTAATAGTACAGGGATTTGTTTGGAACATTTAAACTTGATGCTGTGCCCTTGTAATTTTGTAACAGCGTCGAAGCATAAACCCCAGTGTCTCTTGGACGGTTTCATCAAGTCTGGGAAAAGCGCTGCCCTTGCGATGCTTGTGCATTGGGCACGAGCACAGGGTTGGTTGGTATTCTACGTTCCGAGCGGACGAGATTGGACGAGTGGGGGAATGTACTACAAGAACGAGCAAACTGGTCTTTATGATACTCCAGTTCAAGCAAGAGTCGCGCTCGAAGTAAGACACATTGCCCGCATTTCCTCACATCAAGCTACCACACCACTGCCTACGCCAAATTGATAGCACACACATTCAGAGCGGTAGATCACTTTGCATGTGTCAGCTTTCATGGGATAATTTTGCCTTAAACGATGTAGGCCAAGGCTGGATGCTTTAGAGTATTTCGAATGCAATGATGAAATTTCGTTTATGTTTGAACACTACGTTGGGGATTTGGTGCCGCTGAAGTAGCAGCATGCATTCTTCAACTCAAAAAGAAAGAGGATAAGTGGAATGTTTGCGCTGTTCTCTAATGTTCGTCTGGTAATTTGCAACATTGGGAGCTCAATTAGATTTTTCCAAGAGAGCTAACCTACATTGATTTTAGTATTGAAGACAATGAACGGACACCTTGTAGGTGGGGAACTCACCCAAGCGGGATCGCTATCGCCGTCGCATTTGTGTTTTTGGCGCTGCCAGGTTGCTTGTTCTGATTACTGTTGAGGACTCCGAGTTACCGCAAAGAATGACAACTAATACCTTATCTTCCTTCTACATCATTAGGGGTTCCTAAAAAGTCATCGAAGTCTTCTGGACACTATACCTTGTCGCGTACTGAAACCTTTACAATTGGGAGAAGGAGCAGGTGTCGGGAAGCTGCGGGGTGCACAAGAGTTAACTCTTCCAGAAGGAGCTTCCTTGAGAGCTTTAGTGGAGAAAGGCATAGCTGTATCTCAAGCATCTGTTAGCGTAGTTTTGAGGATCAGAGAGGAGCTTTCCTTGGTTCAAGAAGCACCGGTCTTACTGTGCATCGACGAGGTATGGTCACATCTCAACCTGTAAATCGTTTCATTGTTCTTCGATTTTTCGTCAGTGATCAGTGTCCCTCTTATTTCAGGACTAGAACAAGAGGACATTTAGTAACTTCAGCTTCATATTGTTCTACGCTTCTGACATATGACTCGTCTTACAGTTCAACAGCTGGTTCACTTTTAGTCACTTTCATGAAGCTACTGGAACAAGATCGCGCCGACCGATCCATGCCCGAGAAGTGTCAATGGTGGGTTAGCAGTTTTAACGCTGAATGGCGACTCAGTCTTCTAGCCGTCGCACACTCTCTTCTCTGATGGTGTATACAAGTCTCAGGGAAACATGCTGTTGAATGCTAAACACACTGGACCCAGCATAGAATCGAATTGATTTTCCTTGTCTCGACTCGAAATGCGTATAATAGTGCTTCGCCTGCCTTGGTCTTCGATACAAATCAGTGTTTGGTGTTCCACACCTCATCCCAGTCTGTTTGGTCTTTAGTGGTCAACTAAGGTGGATGGATGCCCGTCTGACAGGTCAACGCGTTTAGGACTATGGAGGGCCCCATTATGATGGCCACTGCGTTTTCCCAGTCTCTAGCCGTCGGCAAGCTCCCTGTACAGCTGCCAGGAGTACCCAAGAATGTCCGCTTCCCGATCCCAAGATACAGCCTCGAAGAGGCCACGGCAGCAATGACCTACTATCACAGGTTAGAACGCTTACTCCAACCAATCTAGTTGATGCGAATGTTTTCGTCTAATGGAGGAAGGTGGTATATTACGCTTTTGGCCTTAGTATGAGCTTAGGGTAGGTCTTGAATGGTTCCACCGTCGATTTCACTTATAGCATTGAACTTTTCTTTAGATTGAGAAAGTTAGCCGAATGACCTCACACGTACACATTGTGTTGCTGGGTTTCGCAGTAGGAAGATCACGTCGAAAGAGCCCTCTTCAGAAGATGTTAGAAAATTGTTCTATCTCACAAATGGCAACGGCGAGGAGATAAGAACTTTGGCCCGGCTTTTAGGATAAAAGTCATGACCCCTGGTGGGAAATCGATAATTCCAGCGAGTGCACAAGATCCGCACCACCTACGGTTGTTCAACGGGGCGTGCACACACCACACAAAGCTATCTGACTCAACAGAGTTCTATGGGAACCATCATCATCATCATCGTCCATCCGACGACGACGCCTAGCATGCACTTCCACGTTCTTTTATCTGTCTACCTGCCAGAACCTGGGGTGGTGCATTACGGGTTGTGGTGATACCCACGATGGTTTCCACTCGAGCCAATGTAGGACGTGGTTTATTGCTCAAGTCAGGCAAAGCAGTTTAAATATTGTGCTCACATGAAAGGAAGCACAGCATCCTTAAAGATATTCACGAGGTTGTTCCCTTTCATAGTCCTACGGTCTTCTAGGTGTTCGTTGTTTACCTCCTGTGGTCCCTCCCTCTGGCAGCCACCTCGGAGACGATGCTCTTGAATTCGACGTGAAAAGAAGTCTGTTGGCCCCGTGCACAACCTCCTCTCATAACACGCATATATCTGTGGCCCAATCGTGGACTGCTGCGAGTTCCAGTGTCGATTATGAATTTCTCACAGACCACTAGTCAGTCCTATGTCTGGTGAACGTTTAGCGCATGAATTACATTGTGGTTCGTTTCCCTAGCAGGAGTCTCTTGGAAGGTCAATTGAGTTAATGTGCACGAACTGGTCTACACTGTAATAACCAGCGTACTTCTTTGAATGCTGCGTAGTGGTCGAAAAGGTTCCGGATACTTTTCGAGCACCTGTCGAAGGCAGGTAAACGCCATCCAGTTGTGCGCGAACTCACGTAATCGTGACGGTCTTCAGAAAGCACGTTGTCTCTCTCTAACCGATCCTTGATTCTGTGACATAATCGAGATTATTTCACTGTATGATTTATAGCCCGGATCAGCGAAGGCTCTGAAAAAACTACTTCAGGCACAATTGGAAGGCTGGAATTCATCCTTCACAGAGCAGCCTGTGGAAGACGTCGAAGGTCTTTCTTCTATACTTGTAGGTATAGAAGAGAGTGTAGAAATGTATGCAGCCGGATTACGAAGGAAAGGGGCTGCGAAGGAGCAATTCTGCCCTTGAAATACCCACATACCACGTTTTTTTTCCCGGCGGAACGAATGCCGTTGTCATAAACTGATAATGTACGACAGGAAGTAGCTTTGATCCGCTACAGACGAATCCTACCTCTGTATCGAAGAGGTGGAGAGTTTGTGAAATGGTGATCTACGTTACATATTCCGTAGAGACTGTTTTCTTTCACAAGGTAAACAAGCACTATCAAGAGAACGAGTTCAGCTGAGAGATTATGACTCCAATGCCACGCGTGTCTCGAGAGGACTGAAATATTGAAGGAATAGAAAAAAGGAGGAATTAGCTTCTTCGATTGAGACATCTCCTCGTAAAGGTGAAGTTTGATGTTAACAGGGAGGTTGAGGAAATTGTGAGGTGCAGTGGCTGTACCTCCCTTGACGATGATGTCGATGGCGAGCTGGTCAACAGACGCAGTAGAAGTTGTTGAGGAAGAGGATTTGGCACGCAATCTGAAGGATGAATGGACTTCTTGAATGTTCAGTAGGAGGAGGTCGAGGGCCAAAGGTGATATACGAGCCCCACCGCGGCCGATGGACACGTTCTGACCTCATTACTTGACCGGTTGTTGCAGGTCAGCACATGAGCGCGAGGGGGATGGAGCTCCTGTGAATTTGTCTCTTGAGATCTCTGCCGTATTCTCGTGCTCGCGCTGTCCGACCGCCCATCTGGCCAGCCAGTCACCCAGCGCCCCGCTGAGACTAATGGAGTTTCTGACTGGTGCGCCTCTTTGGGTCCCCACCCCATTCATCCCTGCCGTTGCCCTCCCATTTCCTCCACAACATAATTTCTTCCGTTCTTTCTTGACAAATGGTCGAGAAGTCCGCAAGCTGTGAGCGACCAAACTCGTATTCTGGTCATTCTCTCTACGCTGCTCTCAGCGCGGCCATCGACAATCTATCCAAGCCGTAATGTCGTCCGGCACCGCAAGATAATCCAAACTTGAAAATTCTGCATTCTTCAGTCGCTCATCGGCGTCGAAAAACTCCGGGCGAAGCAAGAATGTGGCTGCTGTGCGCGGCCGCACTGGTCCTCGTTCAGTGCGTGAAAGCTGTGTGCGTGGTGGAATTCATCGTGCATTTCCTGTGGGCATATCACATGCTTTCCATCTGCTGCAATGTCTGGGTGCGCTGAGGATCGTCGGGTCGTTCGAGGATCGTCGGTCCCGGCGCAGGCCTCCCGGAGGCCCTGTCGTGTCCCGCGGAGGATGAGGTGAGTCGAGGAGCGCAGAGGAGAGGAGAGGAGAGGAGAGGATCGGAGAGGGGCGGGAGCGGGCACAGGAAGACGAGACGGAGGGGGACGGAGCGGCGCCGGCGCTGGCCGCCGAGGACGAGGAGGAGGAGGCCGGGGCCGGGGGCAGAATGGCCCGGGTGGTGACCAGGGCCATGACGCGGGCGCGCGAGATGCAGAGAGTGGAGAATTGCGAGGACGCGGGGCCGCCGGCCACGATGCACGGGTCGGCGAGCATGGACCCGGCGCTGTGGAGCAACGTGCCGGAGCACTTGATGGAGCGGATCCTGGCGAATTTGGCCATCCCGGCGCTGTTCCGCCTGCGAGCCGTGTGCAAGGCGTGGTACTCGCTGGTCTTCTCGCCCACCTTCTTGGATCTGTACGCGCGGGGGCCCGGGCACGGGCAGGGCCCGTGGTTCCTGCTGTTCCGCAACCAGGACTACCGCGAGGCCTCGACCTACAACCCGAGCGTCAATCGCTGGATCGCCGTCACGCCCCCGCCGCTGCCCGGCGACCAGATGTTCCTGCCCATCGCGTCGGCGGGCGGCCTGCTCTGCTTCAGCTCCTGCACCAACGGGCGAACCACGCTCGTGGTGGCCAACCCCGTGACCCGGCGCTGGCGCGAGCTGCCGCCCATGCTGCGCATCCAGACCTACCACATGGCCGGCATGGTGGTCGACCGCCGCACCAAGGCCTACAAGATCGTCGTGGTGGGCATCTACGGCATCTACGACGTGTACTACCCGACCACGGAGGTGTTCCACTCCGAGACCAACGCCTGGACCATCACCGGCGACATCCCGCGCGGCCCGCTGTTCCCGTCGCGGCGCACGCTGCTCTGCGACGGCATCCTGTACTCGTGGTGCTGCGACCCGCCCGACGGCCTGGTGGCCTACGACATGGCCGAGGGCACCTGGAGCCAGATCTACGCGCCCATGCGCCACTCGCTGGACAGTCACATGCTGATCGAGTCGCAGGGCCGCATCTACACGGTGGGCGGCCTGCGCGAGCACAACGTCACCAAGAGCATCTGCATCTGGGAGCTGCAGCGCTCTGAGCTCGAGTGGAAGGAGGTGGACCGCATGCCCGAGATGCTGTGCGACGAGTTCCTCTTCGGCGGCAAGCGCTTCATCTGCATCGGCCTGGACGGGCTGGTCCTGCTCATCGTCCGCGGGCGCGACCGGCTGGTCCTGTCCTACGACTTCTGCAAGCGAGTCTGGCGCCGCCTGCCCGGCTGCCCCCTGGCCGACCACCGCCTGCGCTACGGCCTCATCGACGGCATCGCCTTCGAGCCCCGGCTCGACGCCACCGTCTAGCGTCGCAGCTCCGGACGTCACGTCGCGACTGCCAGCCCGGCGCGGCGCTGTTCGACCGCCCCCGCGCCTCAAGGGGCTCAAGCCCCTCGAGCGTGCACTCTAATTCTCGACGACCGAGGCTCTGGGACGCTCTCGATGTACGATAAGGCCCAGATGTTTGCGCTTGCCCGGAGGTAGATAGGTGAGGAGATCCTGTAAGTTGCCAGTTCGATGCCAATCTGATGCTCGATGCTTTCTTCCCATGCGTTCCCTGTGCACCAAGAGGTTGCGTTCCACGTTATTTTTGAGTTCTCGTCTTTGTCGATCCCTCGGTCGATTGTTAAGCATATGTCTTCATCTTTAGGCACTATTATGGTCCAGTGAACCTGCTCTTCAGTCCGACGAACGATCCCAGTGCTGTACACTTGATATGATCTTCGACACAGTTCTATTCTGTTAATAATCGATCTGTGACAAAAGGTCAACAGAGAGTTCGTGCTCACCCTCCCTGGCGCACAAAGAAACCAGCCTCATCATTTCAAGTGCACTGCTGCTCCGCTCGTTTATATTCGAGAGGCATGAGATGTGGAGACGGGCTGCATTTGAGAAGAATAGCGTCATGGAGTCCCTGCCCAATTACGAGATGACACAATCGATCATTGACAATGACGAAAGATTGAAGTGACAGCCCATTCGAAGCTGCGATGCTGCATGGTCTTGGAGCAAGTATTGAATTTCCCTGCTCAAGCGAGTCATCATCTTCCGTGCAGTTAAAGGTGAAACAATCGGAGTCCCCGGCTGTCCTTCTTCCTCTTACCACTTCAAGTGACGATCTGACAAGGATAAGTTTTAGCAGATGTCATATCTTCTATTACATCAAACTCAGCATCGTGACAGTGGGTGTTAATTGTAAAGGTTACATAGGGCCCTACACTTCGGTGCTGCAAGTGCAGCAAGGGTGAGTACGAATGCGTTGTCTGCTGCAAAAAGAGTTTCCTATGGAGAGAAGCCTCAAAAACATATCTCTTAACTTTCGCCTCTTCTCCTTCAGCTCCATATGATTTGTCCTTCCTCTTAAGGCAGGCAATTCATCTTGGAATTGATCAAATTTGCGTTGCAAGATCAACGAAAGTGCCATGGCTTTGGAATTGTAGATTGCAAAGCAAAAATCTGTCCCCAGTCTTAAAGAAGCGTTTGCAGACGGCAGAAAACCGATCTTTCGATGAATTACAATTTCCACCTACCGAAGCTGCACATTGGCACCACAGAGTTGCAAGTAGGACGGAATAAGATCCTCTATGAGTTTTCGGTCAAGTCCAAGTCCGTTCTTACTGTTTCAAAAAAATTGTCTCAAACAAATTCCGTGCTGACCTGGTCTCAACCGTGATGTGACATCCGGGTCGACTCTTCTTACAACGACCTTGGCAATGACTTGGTGGCAAAGTGTAATCCAGACCAAATGCTACCTTCAGATAATCGCGCACGAATTGCGGTGTCTAGCAATTCGTGCAATTCTGGACCTGGCAGAACGCATTTGGATTTTGACGCTCGACCGTGCAGACATCGGGCAGGCTTTTAAATGATTACTCCAATGGTCTGGGATTCAGGAGTAGCATTTTAGGCAAGGTCTTGCGTTTAAGAATTAAGATATGTGATTGATGTCTTCACGCATACGCTCACCGCCACCGCAAATTCCACACCACGATAGATAATACTTCCCGCAGATCCACAAAGCTCGTGAGATTTGACTTGTGGCAAGCCAGATTGTGCACAGGATCAATTCGCACAGTTTCCACGAAAGTGAGAGAATGGAAATCCTCAAAAGTCCTCTTGATCTAAGAACGTTGTACGAATTTCACAATAAAGTGTTACTCTTGAGTCGAGGATTTGAGGACATGGATGCCAAAGGAATCAGAAACGAGCGGGGCGGCACAATCCGAGCAAGAGCGGTCATCAAAGCAATCGTTTAAAATTACAGATAATGTACATGTAGAAGAACACTGTCAGGACTCGTGTCAATGCCTGGAAGGTGGTGGTCCGACTATGATCACCATGTAAATAAAGAGGCCGACTATGACACCGGCCATGACATAAGTAAACTGAGGCGTGGTCCAGAAACCCAAAGCCGATTTCTCCGATTTCCGCATGGGATCCACTTCCTCCGACAGGGGATAGTTCGAGTGCTCGGGCCTGCGGCTCACATACTGCTCCATGTCGATGTTCAAGAAGGATTTCTTCTTCTCCGGGCTGCTGAATTTGGTCCACGCCTTGTCCCAATCCACTTTCTGCCCTCCCTGATCTTTTCTAGGGCCACCCTCGTCTTGATCATCCGACGCTCTGGCCTTTCCGGCGCTTCCCCGCCGCCTGCTCGCGGACCTCCATAACGGCCCTTGGCTCGGCAGGCCTACGCAGCCCTTGATGCCCGACCACCCAGAATTGCTCATCGGGAGTGCCCCGAATTTCCTCGGACCGAGTACTCCGCTCACTCCTGCACATTCCATGGCTGCCTCTGCTCCTCCTCGCTGATCTCTCTCGACCCAGCCCACCGAAATTTCAACCTCCTAAGCCTCCTCCTTTCGACCTGTCAGATGGATAACGGTGATGAAAGTGGAGTACCGCAGCACCAGCAGTACGATGAGCTCTGGGTAAGGATTCTGAGTCTCATGAGGAAGGCAGCGAGGCTCGAAACCTCGTAGATTCTGCGGAGGCGTCCAGTTGAGAGGCACCGCCCGCGCTCGCTCGTGCCCTCGACGTCTATCCGAGGCAGGCAAGCAGTCAGTCAGGGACTCTGGGGGATAGGCCGCTGCGGTTGATGAGCTTCATGGCGCCTCGGTTCTCATGACGAGCCAAACGCTTCGATCGATCGATCGAATCATCGAGGGGTGGGCCGTTCCAATCCACGCTCCGGCGCCATCCATCAGTCCGTCAATCGCAGGCGCTCCAGGCTCTTGTTCACTCAAAGCATTTGCGTGTCTGGCGCGTGTGTGTTTCTGTGTGCCTTACGCCATATGGAAGCCATCTTCCCACGTCACGGGAAGTCGTTTGCTCGTCCGTCCGGTGCTTGTTTTCCTCACGGGATCTAATTTTAGGTCTCCTCCGCTAACAGCACTTTCTGTGCTTGACCCACTTCGAGCTTCTTCTCTTACATCCCTTGTCAAATTAGAAAGTAACCCAGCTTCCAACCTCATTTGTGTGGCGATAGAAAAACGAATCATTTGAAAGCAACGCGCCTTTCAATTGGTATGTATAAACTAATAACAACCTCATTCATCTTTATTTCACTTTTCATCTTTGAATTGTTTGGATAAAACTTTAAAATGTTATAAATCATGTTTATTACTAAAATCATCAAGAAATGTTCAAATATAAAATTCTGCAAGTTTGATTGATTTTTTCCTGATATGTTTATTCATTATCTTCCTACAGTAGAAAGTTGAAATTAATTTTGCAAGGTTTCCTATGTTTTATAAATAATTCATATAATTTTGAATTCATAGTTATCTAACATTTGGATGTTCAAGCTGAAATCATTGTTGTGATTTTGATACAAATATAATTATCTTCGTCTCTTGCATCAATTTTTGCAAATAAAAAACACTCATGAAAATTATGGATTTTGTATGCAATTCTACATGTAAAGCCAAAACTACATAATGTCATGAATTATGAATTTTCTTACTGTTCCACACGCTAGTTTTTTCAATATCATAGAATTCTATTTATTTGATTTTTTTTAGATATATTCAATATATATACATCTCAAATTACTAGTTCAATATATATAAGGTTTAAACATAACTGTATGTAACTTAAAAATTTCTTTTCAACAGAATTTTGCTTTTTTCTTCATCATGCTTTTTTGTAAAAAAAATTTGTCATCATATATATACAACATTATCGGATTAGTATGTTGTTGCATTAACTTTCAATGTAGTTAAACTACATGATTACACATGATATGAATTTCTATCATTAAAGAAAAATAAAATGTCAGTTTGTTAGATTAGATTTCAGTTTTATCCAATTATCTAAACACAATATATGTCAATATCTTTATCTCCTTTTTCTGTAACATTAAGCTTCCAAAAAGTACATATGATGTAAGACTAAAGCCATTAAGATGGCTATCTTGAGTAATGCTAGATCAAAATTGCCGTCTGATATAATGCTATGCAATCATACTAAATTGAAATTGCCGTCTATGCAATGATTGTTTTTCACTATTATGTTCTATCAAGCAGATTGAGAATTAGCATAAAGATCACGGCACATAAAGCATAAAGGTAAACAATATTTGAGACTTTTTAGTCATGATCTTGCACAACTAAAATGTGAATATTGGTGTTAAATTTGAGAAAATTGGACGTGATATAAAATTTACTAAGATTATAGGCTAGTGTATGAAATTGACTTGCACATTCATCTCATTTGGCCAAGAATGAATTAGATTTTACTTTGATTTTTCTTAAATTTGACATGAAATGAAATATAGTTTTGAAGGGATATAAATAAATCTAGCTCAAAACTCCATATGAAGTAAAGTTTTGATATATTTTTTTGAAGCTATTCAATCTAGGAAATTATCAAATGAATTACATTTGAATTGAATTTAAAGCAAAAATGATTATTGTGAATCTATTCAATTGAGGAGGTAGTATTGGAGTATGACAAATGTGGAAGTTTTGAAAGATATAGAAATAATAAATTTACATATAGAAAGAAGTCAAAACTACATTAATTTCAACCAAAAGCACACATGTAAATCTGAGCATATTGGAAGAATTAGTGTTGCTAGTCACTAAAACTTTCAAGTAACTACGCTTGAACTTCCACTTGTAGATATCGTTCAAATGAAAGAATCTTCTTGTTTTTAAGTTGATGCTCACTTGAACTGTCATCTTGAAACAATAGTTGTATTCAATGACACATATCAATACTAAGTAATGTTTTTCTAACTCCGCAAACGATAAAATGTTACCTAAAACCTTCAAAATTTGTATAGCACATCAAAACATTAGTTAGAATGAAAAAGAAAAATCCGTTTGCATGGACAATGCAAGAAATTACATTCAATATTTCATAGAGTAAGTGAAACTTAAATCATATATGCAATCGTATATGATGTGATCAAATACAATGAACGTGACAATTTTCTACTCTAGAATAATCAAATCAAATGCAAAAAATTGTATCTTGAATATCATAAAGTTTCCATAAATTCAAATCATATACATCATTATAAATGAACTAATTATATACAATTATCTATTTTATATTAAATATGTCAAAGTTAAGCTCAATATCACATGTTTGAGCAAAATGTTCTAATACTTTCAAATATTTAACAACAACAATTAAAATGACTTTTAAAAGTAATACTTGAATATAAGAATATTTCATTAACAAGTTTTGAATTTGAAAAAAGGTGAACAAATATACAAATGTTTAGCTCTAATACTTTCAAATATTTAACAAAAACAATTGAAATGACCCTTAAAAGTAATATTTGAATATAATAATATTGCAATAACAAGTTTTGAATTTGAAAAATAATGAACAAATATACGAATTTTGATCTATAATTTGAAATTTTTTAACAAAAAACCTCATTTCAAAAGTTTCACACTAAACCCTAAAATTCAAATACGATGCATAGATTTTGATTTAAAATTTCAAATCTTTTATGAGTTCATCTACTTCTCATAATTCTAATTTGTATTAGATTGACTAGAATTAAAATGAAAATTTGAATTTACACTAATAATTTTTTGAAATATTCATGTATTGGGTATAATAACCTCCATAAAATATGAAATTATTTTGTAAAATTTTTCAAAATAAAACCTAACATAGACTGATTTGTACAGTACAGCTAATTGAAACTAAATCGTAGCCAAAACATGATAGATTAAAAATATTCAAAGAAAGCGTAAAAAAATATGGAGGTAATGAAATTTGCTAGTAAACTCTACTTGTGCTCCTCATGCAAAAACTACATACTAGTAAAATATAAACTAATATTTTTTTAAATAACATTGATCAATCCAGTAGCTAGATTGAATTTAATGTCAATCTCAAGTCGCTGAATACTTTAATCTCACACCACATTCATGATAAAGTGATATCTATTGTCGATGTGTTACATTCAATTGTACATTACTTGATTTGCAACAAGATTTAACATTACATTATTTGCAACAAGATTTAACGCACTTTGATTATCACAATGAAGATTGACAACCTCATGTTTCAATCTCATCTCAGTGATAATTTTATTCAAAAAATAAGCTTCATTTGCTACTTTTCCTATCGTTACATAAGTTACGCACTTCTACAAAGTGGATCTTAAACTAATGCATCCAACACCAAAGTAAAGACATATCATAGTCTATAGTCAACATTAACGTAGCATAACAAGTATTTGACATTGTTAAAAAACTATTAAACAAGATACCATCATCTTTATTACTTTTCAAGTACTTGAAAATTCAATTCAATGCTTCATAATGCACTATACTTTTATTATACATGTTGTTGCTCATTTGTCTATAGCAAAAGCAATATTAAATCTTGTGCATACAGTCAAATATACGATACTGTCCACAACTTTGTCATGAAAAATTGATGACATATTATACTTTTTAATAACATCGTTTGAAAATTGACTAGCAAAAAGTTTGAAATCTGCAGTCAAAGTAGTACAACTTCAAAGTGTGTAATATTAAACTTGTCAAGCACACAATGAATGTATTTAACTCAATCATAGATTATTCTTCTTTATATCTTTTAAAGTATCCATCTCTAATATTTTCTTAGAATTTTTAAAATCTTTCATTTTAAATGCATATTTGAGTTGATTCTTGCTACTATGCACATTAGATTGATTTTTTGCCAAAATAAGCATGTTGATCATGTAAAGTATTACAATAATAAGATTGAAATATTCTTTATTCATCATTTTCATGTATACATATGAATCAAACACAATCCATTAAAATCCTTGTACTTTCATGAACTCATCAAAACTCGCAATTGCTTGTTTAATTTATATAATAATTTTTGAAATCTATAAATCAACTTCTTTCAAATATTTTTTCAAAGCCAAATTTTTATTTTATTTAGATTTTTACCTTGAGATATTCATGGAATAATGTTGTAACTATTCCATATGATACATAATGAGACTAAAAATTGCATCAAATGCATATACAAGTCAAATTATAACATAATATTTTACAAACAAAAATAATTCATTATGATCCACATCTTTTTCTTTTGTGAAACTTCTAAACTGATGATTAGAGATTTCACCTAACTACTTTTAGTTTTTTTTTCCAAGATCAATGTCATCACATACTCAACATCAATATCACGATCTTAAAAAATGGATGAATCAGTTCACATCTTATAGTATCCATACTGATCCAATTTGATGATCTCCTAGTAAACAATTCTAGTTGATTTTCATCCCCTATGCAGATTTAAGTATCATAAACAATAACTTGCTTCTTCAATATCTGCTCTTTAGGAATTTGCTTCATTTTTACCAAATTTTTGTCTTGTGTCTCATTTTTTATCACATAATGATTAACATCCATTCCAAAAATATTTTTGAGTGGAAATTTTTTCTTGTCAATACGAGAAACATGATAAAAACATTTCTTCTTTAATGATATGGACTCATGAAAAACATAACTACTTACAATAACCTTACAAGCTAGTTAATTTCACGTTTGATAACCTTTAACATCATTTATATATTCAAAATAACAAATTTCAGTGGATGTAGTATCCAAATTGGTTTTATTTTTTTAAGTTATGGATGTATAAGTCGTAAAAGCAAAAATTTTAGACAACTATAATTAGTCATTTGTTTGTGTTTTAATTCAAACTGCAAAAAATTTGATTGCATTGTGTAACCATTTTTAATTAGTTCAAACTAAAGTAGAGTTTCATAAAGCTAGAGATATAGTTTCATTATTGTGAACAATTTATAATCACCACGTCA